TTGTGGGCGGGAAATGGGAGGGGAGAAAAGGGCGGGAAACGTGAGGGGAGAAAAGGATAGGAAATGTGAGGGAGAAAAAGATGGGAAAGGTGAGGGGAGAAAATGTCAGGAAAGGTGAAGGGGAGAAAAGGGTGGGAAGTGTGAGGGGGAAAATGGTGGGAAATGTGAGGGGAGAAAAGTGGGGGAACTGTGAGGAGAGAAAATGGTGGGAAATAGGGGGAAAAGGGCAGGAAATGTGGGAGGGGAAAAAGGTGGAAAACATGAGAGGGAAAATGGTGGGAAACGTGAGGGGAGAAAAGTGGGGGAACCGTGAGAAGAAAAAGGGCAGGAAATGTGGGAGGGGAAAAGGGTGGAAAACGTGAGCGGAGAAAAATATGGGAAATGTGAGGGACAAAAGGGTGGGAAACATGAGGGGGGAAAGGGTGGGAAATGTGAGGGGAAAAAGGATGGGGAAATGTGAGGAGAAAAAGGGCAGGAAATGTGAGGTGGGGAAAAGGGTGGGAAACGTGAGGGGAGAAAAGGGCAGAAAACGTGAGGTGGAAAAGGGAGGGAAATATTCTGAAATATTCTGAAATATCCTGAAATAATCTGAAATACTCCTTAATATCTGAAATACTCTGAAATACTCCTTAATATCTGAAATATTCAGAAATATTTGGAAATATTCTGAAATACTCTTTAATATCTGAAATATTCTGAAATATCCTGAAATATTCTGAAATACTCCTTAATATCTGAAATATCCTGAAATATTCTGAAATACTCCTTAATATCTGAAATATCCTGAAATATTCTGAAATACTCTGAAATATTCTGAAATACTCCCTAATATCTGCAATATCCTGAAATATTCTGAAAATACTCCTTTATATCTGAAATATTCAGAAATAATCTGAAATACTCTGAAATATTCTGAAATACTCTGAAATATTCTGAAATACTCTGAAATATTCTGAAATACTCTGAAATATTCTGAAATACTCTGAAATATCTGAAACATTGCAGGCCAGAGAGAAGGATCCTTGGTGCTCAGATCTGGCTGTCTAAAATCCTCAGAGAGGAGTCGGTGTGGCTGGATCCAAACCCAGCCACAGACTGCTCCCAACTACCTATACTTCTATAAAGTTAATTACTTTATATATATATAATTAATATAAATAAACAAGGTGTATAAATTATGTATGTTGCTAACATATATTATATATATTAGAAACATATATTTATTATCAATATATATAATATATGCATATATATGAATATATGTATGTATATTGTATATATATACATCAAAAATACATAATAATGAATATATAAAATAAACATTATGAATATCTATTATATATACTAATTTGACATCTATTATCTTTTGAATTAAATAAACAACTTACTTAAATCAACTACAGACATGATAATGACTGCAGCACACAGGTGGCTCTACCTATGAATAAAATTCACCGTTTTTGAAAGGATATGGAAGCAATTATGTCAGAGCTCGCAGAGAAACTTGGGGGAAAAAAGTGAGAATTGAGGGCGGGAAAAGTGAGGAGGAAAAGGCGGGAAACGTGAGGGGAGAAAAGGGCGGGAAACGTGAGGGGAGAAATGGGCGGGAAACGTGAGGGGAGAAAAGGATGGGAAATGTGAGGGAGAAAAGGGTGGGAAAGGTGAGAGGAGAAAAGGATGGGAAAAGTGGGGGAAATGTGAGGAGAAAAAGGGCGGGAAATGTGAGGGGTGAAAAAAAGCGAAATGTGAGGGGAGAAAAGGACAGGAAATGTGAGGGGGGAAAAGGGCAGGAAAGGTGAAGGGGAGAAAAAGGTGGGAAGTGTGAGGGGGAAAATGGTGGGAAATGTGAGGGGAGAAAAGTGGGGGAACTGTGAGGAGAGAAAATGGTGGGAAATAGGGGGAAAAGGGCAGGAAATGTGGGAGGGGAAAAAGGTGGAAAACATGAGAGGGAAAATGGTGGGAAACGTGAGGGGAGAAAAGTGGGGGAACCGTGAGAAGAAAAAGGGCAGGAAATGTGGGAGGGGAAAAGGGTGGAAAACGCCGTTCTCCCCTCAGCGGAGAAAAATATGGGAAATGTGAGGGACAAAAGGGTGGGAAACATGAGGGGGGAAAGGGTGGGAAATGTGAGGGGAAAAAGGATGGGGAAATGTGAGGAGAAAAAGGGCAGGAAATGTGAGGTGGGGAAAAGGGTGGGAAACGTGAGGGGAGAAAAGGGCAGAAAACGTGAGGTGGAAAAGGGAGGGAAATATTCTGAAATATTCTGAAATATCCTGAAATAATCTGAAATACTCCTTAATATCTGAAATACTCTGAAATACTCCTTAATATCTGAAATATTCAGAAATATTTGGAAATATTCTGAAATACTCCCTAATATCTGGAATATTCTGAAATATTCTGAAATACTCCTTAATATCTGAAATATTCTGAAATATCCTGAAATATTCTGAAATACTCCTTAATATCTGAAATATCCTGAAATATTCTGAAATATTCTGAAATACTCCTTAATATCTGAAATATTCTGAAATATCCTGAAATATTCTGAAATACTCCTCAATATCTGAAATATCCTGAAATATTCTGAAATACTCCCTAATATCTGGAATATTCTGAAATATTCTGAAATACTCCTTAATATCTGAAATATTCTGAAATATCCTGAAATATTCTGAAATACTCCTTAATATCTGAAATATCCTGAAATATTCTGAAATATTCTGAAATACTCTGAAATACTCCCTAATACCTGAAATACTTTGAAATACTCTGAAATATTCTGAAATACTCCCTAATATCTGCAATATCCTGAAATATTCTGAAAATACTCCTTTATATCTGAAATATTCAGAAATAATCTGAAATACTCTGAAATATTCTGAAATACTCTGAAATATCTGAAACATTGCAGGCCAGAGAGAAGGATCCTTGGTGCTCAGACCTGGCTGTCTAAAATCCTCAGAGAGGAGTTGGTGTGGCTGGATCCAAACCCAGCCACAGACTGCTCCCAACTACCTATACTTCTATAAAGTTAATTACTTTATATATATATAATTAATATAAATAAACAAGGTGTATAAATTATGTATGTTGCTAACATATATTATATATATTAGAAACATATATTTATTATCAATATATATAATATATGCATATATATGAATATATGTATGTATATTGTATATATATACATCAAAAATACATAATAATGAATATATAAAATATTATGAATATCTATTATATATACTAATTTGATATCTATTATCTTTTGAATTAAATAAACAACTTACTTAAATCAACTACAGACATGATAATGACTGCAGCACAGAGAAAAGGCAGCAAACTGAAGGCAAAAAGGACAACAAACTTCAGCAAAAAGGACAGGAAAGGAGAGGAAGGAAAGGTATGGAACAGAAGGGGAGAAAAATTGGGAAATGTGTGGGGAGAAAAGTGCAAGAAATGTGAGGGGAGAAAAGAGTGGGAAATGTGAGGGGGAAGAAGGGGGAAATGTGAGGGGAGAAAAGGCAGCAAATTCAAGGCAAAAAGGACAATAAACTTCAGCAAAAAGGATGTGAAATGAGAGGAAGAAATGGTATGGAAAGAAGGGGAGAAAAGGTGGGAAATGTGAGAGGAGAAAGGGGAAGGAAACGTGAGGTGAAAAAAGAGCGGGAAACGTGAGGGGAGAAATGGGCAGGAAATGTGAGGGGGAAGAAGGGGGGAAATGTGAGGCGAGAAAAGGCAGCAAACTGAAGGCAAAAAGGACAACAAACTTCAGCAAAAAGGACAGGAAAGGAGAGGAAGGAAAGGTATGGAACAGAAGGGGAGAAAAATTGGGAAATGTGTGGGGAGAAAAGTGCAAGAAATGTGAGGGGAGAAAAGAGTGGGAAATGTGAGGGGGAAGAAGGGGGAAATGTGAGGGGAGAAAAGGCAGCAAACTGAAGGCAAAAAGGACAGTAAACTTGAGCGAAAAGGATGGGAAATGAGAGGAAGAAACGGTATGAAAAGAAGGGGAGAAAAATTGGGAAACGTGTGGGGAGAAGAGGGCGGGAAATGTGAGGGGAAAAAGAGTGGGAAACGTGAGGGGAGAAAATGGGGGACATGTGATGGGAGAAAAGGCAGCAAACTGAAGGCAAAAAGGACAATAAACTTGAGTGAAAAGGACAGGAAATGAGAGGAAGGAAAGGTATGAAACAAGGGGAGAAAAGGGAAACATGAGGGGAGAAAGGGCAAGGAACCATGAAGGAAAAAAGAGCGGGAAACGTGAGGGGGAAAAGGGAGTAACGTGAGGGGAAAGAAAGGCAGGAAATGGAAGGAAAAAAAAAGAAAGTAAACTTGAGTGAAAAGGACAGGAAATGAGAGGAAGAAAAGGCATGAAAAAGAAGGGGAGAAAAGTTGGGAAACGTGAGGGGAGAAAGGGGAAGGAACCATGAGGGGGAAAAAGAGCGGGAAACGTGAGGGGAGAAAAGGGAGGGAAATGTGAGGGGGAAAAGGGTGTGAAACGTGAGGGGGAAAAGCCAGGAAATGGAAGGCAAGAAGGACAGTAAACTTGAGTGAAAAGGAGAGGGAATGAGAGGAACAAAGGTATGAAAGAGAAAGGGAGAAAAGTTGGGAAACGCGAGGGGAGAAATGGGCGGGAAAAGTGAGGGGAGAAAAGGCAGCAAATGGAAGGCAAAAAGGACAATAAACTTCATCAAAAAGGATGTGAAATGAGAGGAAGAAAAGGTATGAAAAGAAGGGGAGAAAAGTTGGGAAACGTGTGGGGAGAAAAGGGAGGGAAATGTGAGGGGAGAAAAGAGCGGGAAACGTGAGGGGAGAAAAGGGGATAATGTGAAGGGAAAGAAAGCCAGGAAATGGAAGGAAAAAAGGACAGTAAACTTGTGTGAAAAGGACAGGAAATGAGAGGAAGGAAAGGCATGAAAGAGAAGGGGAGAAAATGTGGGAAATGTGAGGGGAGAAAAGGGTGGGAAATGTGAGGGAAGAAAAGAGCGACTTTGGGGGGGTCCTGTGCCTCTGCCAATGGCCAGAGCCCCCCACCCCAGGGAAAAGGGGGGACACACAGAGACCCTGCTGGGGTGATTTTGGGGGGGGGTCCCTAAAAAGGGGGTGCCCCGATTCTGGGGGGGGTCTGTCCTCAAAAGGGGGTCCCCAAATGTGGGTGGGCCCCATTTTTGGGGTGCAGCTCTTGGGGGGAGGTGTTCCCCAATTCTGGGGGGGTCCCTGTGTCCTGGGGGGGTCCCCAGCCCTGTCAGGAATTGGGGGGGGGTTCCCTCAGAGCTGTCCCCGATTTTGGGGTGTTGCCATTTTTGGGGACCCCCCCCCCCGAATTTTGGGGGATCCCCTGATGTTTTGGGGTGCCCTGGGTGTGTCCCCAGTCCCAGCCCTGCTGCAGGAGCTTCAATCCTTATCCCAAAAATATCCCCCCCCCATTTTGAGAGGGTTTTGGGATGGTCCCAATTTTTTGGGGGGGGTCCCTGTTTTTGGGGTGCCCCCTCCCCATTGGTGCCCCCATGGCGAGGGGTCCTTGCCCCCCCCCCCACCATTCTGGGGGTGTCACCCCGTTTTTGGGGTGGTGTCCCCATTTTTAGGGGGGGTCCCCATATTTTGGGGCACCCCACTGGGGGGGTCTCCCCCACATCGGGGTCCCCGTCCCGGCAGCTCCGTCCCCGTGGCGGGAGGATCTGTCCTTGTCCCCCCCGTGCTGTTCCGGGGCTGTCACCCCCTTTTTGGGGGGGTGTCCCCATTTTTAGGGGGTGTCCCCATTTTTAGGGGATGTCCCCATTTTTAGGGGGTGTCCCCATTTTTAGGGGATGTCCCCATTTTTAGGGGGTGTCCCCGTTTTTGGGGGTGTCCCCACATCGGTGTCCCCGTCCCGGCAGCTCCGTCCCCGTGGCGGGAGGTTCAGTCCTTGTCCTTGGGGTGTCCCCCCGCCGTTTTGGGGTGTCCCCCCGTTTTTGGGTGGGGGTGTCCCCGTTCAGGGGGTGTCCCCATGTCGAGGGTGTCCCCATTTGGGAGTGTCCCTGTTCGGGATGTCCCTGTTGGGGTGTCCCCGTTCAGGGCTGTCCCCGTTGGGGTGTTCCCATGTCGGGGTGTCCCCGTTGGGGTGTCCCCGTTCCGGAGTGTCCCCATTCAGGGGTGTCCCCATTGGAGTGTCCCCATTGGGGTGTCCCCATTCAGGGCTGTCCCTGTTGGGGCGTCCCCGTTCCAGGGTGTCCCCCTTGGGGTGTCCCCATTCAGGGGGTGTCCCCGTTCAGGGGGTGTCCCCATGGGGTGTCCCCGTTTCAGGGTGTCCCCGTTCAGGGGGTGTCCCCGCTGGGGTGTCCCCATGAAGTGTCCCCATTTCAGGGTGTCCCCATTCAGGGTGTCCCCATGGGGTGTCCCCATTCAGGGCTGTCCCCGTTCTGGGGTGTCCCCGTTCTGGGGCGCCCCTGGGGTGTCCCCGCGGGGTCAGGCGCACTTGGCGCGCGCCTGGGCCAGGAGGTCGCTGAAGGAGTCGAAGAGGCGCTCGAGCCAGGGCTGGTTGCGCATGCAGCGCTGCACCACCTCCTCCTGGCCCAGGTCCTCGGCGCGGCCCTCGATGGCCGTCGTCTGTGGGGACACGGGACAGCGTCAGCGGGGCGGCAATGGGGTGGGGAACGGGGCGGGGAACGGGCAGCGGGACAGGGAATGGACACGGGACACGGGACAGCGTCAGTGGGGCGGGAATGGGGCGGGGAACGGGCAGTGGGGGACGGGCAGCGGGACAGGGAATGGAAACGGGG